AATTAGAAACAAGCCTAAGCTAAGGCCACGTTTCCATAATTAATAATAAGTCTCTGTATCATGATTTGGGGCTGACGATCCAAAAAAAAAAAGACTGCTGCACTTGGCACCCAATGTGGGGCCACACATATCCACATAAGGCCTGAGAAATCTTTTTCTTAAAAAGTTCAGGACAAAGAGTCAAACACGACTTCCTTAGTGATCATGGTCTCACAGGTAGGCTCAGTAGCATACAGAGACACAGCTACTGGCTGCTGCCTGTGGGCTGGAGCCAGACACCAGCTCTATTCACTAAGCTGATCTGTGTAACAGCTGACATAGAAGTTTAATATTTGTCTCACACAGTCAGATAATGCTACAAGTACTCAGTAAGGACAGATCCAAATGGAAAAAAAAGAACTTTAAACAGGTTACAGTATGTTTTGTTTTTAAAATGTATATAGGCTTAAAAACTAAAAGAAAATGGATAGACAGTCATAAAAACAGTTTATGAATAATGAGATAAATCTCTAAAGAGAATAAAATAATATAAAAAGGATAGACCATGTAAAGATGAAAATGCACAAGGAGTCTGGATCCTATATGGTGTCTTGTTGACTTTAAATTTTTTCACTGCTGATGAGAAAACAACAAATGCTGAGAGACATGAGATTGTAAGAGGGACTGCTGAATTAAACCAGCCTGGATACTTTAGCAGTGTCTCAACTTTAAAATGAAATTCAAAAAATGTATTGTGTTGGGGAAGAGGCTTTTGTTTCCTTAGGAAATGAAAGGCTGTAGATTCATTCAAGGTTAAACAGAATCGGGTTTGATCTGCTGGGGGGGGGGGCTCCTGAAAAATCTTGACTATAGATATAAAGAAATAAACCTACAAAGACAACAAGACAGGTGATGTACCTGTTCAAACATGAAACAAAAAATCAACTGTGGCTGGATTGTGTACAATGCACAGTCCATACTTGTGTAATGCAGATAATATGTATGTTACCTTTAAAAATTTGTGTGTTTTCAGAGCAAGGGGACAAGATATCAATAAAAATAGGTGGCCCAGGTGATCCAGCCTCTCAGAGTGCCTCAGTTGCAGTTTCCTCTGAGTTCTACATCCAGGACAGCTTCAAGTCTGCTGGCAGAGATGGTCTAGCCACACAGACTATTTTAGCTGGGACTGCAGATAAGCCTTGCACTTTCCCATTGCATAGAGAATGAAAAACAAATGTTATGGTTAGTGTTTCCATGACTTGGCCATTATCTCAATGTTCTAAGGGTTCCCTAAAGATTCCATCACCTCCAGACAACAGGGAACAGTCTAGAGAACACAATGTCCACATTCCCAAGAGGTGGGGTGCATGATTTTTGGTCATTTTGTGGATTATGGATGTTTGTCATCATTGAGGGTGGTTAGTTACAAGTTGTTTTTGGTCATGGTAAGGAAAATGGTTGAACAAATGAGATTAGATTCAGGGATCTCTTTATGAAGGGAAAAGGTAGGGATATACTATAAAAAGGAAGGGATAAACAGGTGAATTGTTGAGTCTACTTTTGAACAACCACTAGTCTCAAATATTTTACATTGGTTTGGATTTTTGTATATTGATACAAATTTATGGCTGTTTTGTTATATGTTTCTATTCTTGTTTATGGTATTATACCTATGCAGCTCATTTTAAAATGTAATGTTAAGTTTTAGTCCTTGAAAGCTATTTAGGATAATAAAAAATACAGGTTAATAGTCATCTATAACAATCAAACTTATAGTCATGTTAGGTAAGTTTTCAAGGTTATATAGAGATGTATTTTAGATAAATAGTTGATTTTTAAACACTCCAAAGACCTACAGGATATAGCACTTTAAATGTCATAATAACATAAGGCTTTTCATGACAGTGAGACATGTCTGTTCATGACAGCACCAATCTACTTCAAAAAAGGATGATGGCCATCAAGGGACCTCCATATAGAGTTTGCTTTCTTCTTGGCAGAAGCTAGCCAAGAAATTTCCCTTGCCTAGACTTCTGACAGTATTCTGGCCAAATTGGACCAGCAGTACCCCAAAAAAAGGCAACTGCAGAACTTTGCCAAGACAGGGTAGGAAGTCCTTCAAAAACTCCCTGCTTTTAAAAAAAAAAAAAAAGTATGACACTCTTAAGACCCCCCCCCCCGATGGAAGGCCTCATCCTCCCTGGGGAGCATATTTTGTAGGTAGGGTGTTAGTTGAGGGGGGGGCAGGAGAGGTGGGAGGGAGATGGAACTGGATTGACATGTAAAACAATCTTGTTTCTAATTCAAATAAAAAAAATTTTTAAAAGTCTGTCAGGCCTGTAAACCAAAAATGGATGCCTCAACATTACAGAAGAATCTTGGGGTGACTGGCCAGGCATTTAAATGTATCTGTTGTGTCTTAGTTTTGGAAGTTACTGGCTCTGTACTTTCTGTTTACTAGGGTAATATTATACCCTTCTCGGATCTTTGATGTTATTGAAGACTAGTTATAGTTACAGTTTCCCTTAGTCATGATAGAAACTAAATTAGGTACAAAATTTTGGACTCATCAGGAGAGGAAAGA